TTAGGCCTCCGGGTTGGTTCACTAATAAAAAAAATTTGTTCTGCAATTTTTGTTTTAACTTAAATCAATTTGAGATAAACGCGTTTGAAGTTTCAAACTTTGATTTTTTTGCTCGGATAATTGAAATCAGCACTGTATTACAAGTTCAGTGATTTCCGCCAATCGGTGCATCAAACAAAAACGTTTCAGCCTGGCAAACATATTTTAAGGCTTTTTGCCACTCCCCCTTCGCCGTTTTTTTTTCAATTTTACTAGTTGTTTTATATGTTATTATGGCTAAACGCGTACCTTAACGATGTAAAGTTTGAATAACAAATGTTTTCATAGTAGCTATGTTGTTCGCCATGCGAAATTTCATTAGATTATGACACCGTACGAAAAACAAATTTTCTGGGAGCTTAAAATGTAAAATAAAATCTGTTCAAAACATTCTGTCATCTTAAAACGACTCTTATCTCAAGAAAAATATTTAAAAGAAATAATATAAAAGTCATCTTAAAACGACTCTTATCTTAAGAAAAATATAAAAAGAAATAATAAAAAAATGTTTTCTATGCTGGGTCTACTATGATAATGCTTAAATGGAGTTCAGTTGTAACACAGAGGCCATTCGTTACACAGAAGCGAAGCGGATCTTCGAATCAACTGCGATACAAAGCAAGCACAGCCTTGCAAGCTAGTGAATACAAGATGAGACTAAAATAACAAAATCGAAAAAATATGTAAACATTGTTTGGGAAAAAACAGAAAAAAACTATTTAAAAAAATTAGTCAAGAAACACAACAAACTGTATTAATTAAGCATTTAATGTTTTAACGAGCGGTCACTAAGCCAACAACACGTTCATTGAGCCAAAAACATCCACTCTAAGCGGCTCCTTGAGACAGATAAAAAAAGGGTCACAAAAATTGTTGACAAAAAAGTTTTTGTGCAATTAAGTTTTAACACTTTGCAAGACAGGCTACCTGATTTGTTTAATCAATCCTTTAATTCTTTGAAGCGACACAAATCAGGGCAAGTAATTCAACCGATAAAACATCAGCCAAAAACATTTAGGCCGAATGAAGCTTTTAAGCGAAACAAAAACAAAAAAATGTACAAAGTCAGGACTATTAATTTTATATATTACAGGAATACATCATGACAACTTGCATTTACGTCAACCGCACAAGAAAATTTAACAATATGGCAACTGAGCCAATAAAAAAATGCGAAAAAAAGCCCGACAACATATTTTTCCCGTTTCTTTTTATAAACTTCAAACGTACTGAAATTAACAAGTTGCAGCCGGGACTCGAACACCATACCATAGGGTACAGAGACAAGCACGTTACCTCTAGGCCAAGTAAGAAACAGTCGCGAAGTTGCTAAGGTTCACTAAAGGAGTAACTTCAATTTCAAGTAACCATGATCCGTGCTCGTTGCTTGAAGGTGAATCAACATTATCAAGCCAAGAAAAATTATCAAGCAAAGAAGTTGCATCTTGTTCTTAAGCAGGGACACAAAAGCGGTTTTCCGCGATGAGCTGTACAACTCGTATGTTGATCTTTTCCCTTTCCATGGGTAAATGCTCTTAGAACTTCAGATGTAAGAAAAAATGTTTACAGGAAAAAATCTAGTTCTCGATTACAAGACACTTCTTTTCGCAAGTGTAATTATAAAAAAAATTCGGAACAATATATTCTTAAAAACTTTCTTTCTAATCTCTTAGAGCTATAAAAATGTCTAAAACAACGAAACAACTGATAACCCACGGTGTAGCAGAATATGTTTCTAGAGAATCATAAAATGTAAGGCAATTCTAAAAACAAACATATATGTCTCGAAAACTAAACTGTTCCAAAGTCTCTTCATTTGAATTGTATGTCACAACCGAATACAGTAATACAGTAGCCCAGCAACAAAAGGCTAATTCATTTTTAAAATAAGTTAGTACTTGTATATATGTCGATAGATCCATAATTCGAAAAATAAGAGATTTGATCAGATGCATACTTTTGAGTTTTATGGTGCTATGTTTTTTCAAAATTGTCGTCATTTTTCTTCGGTCTACTTGAAATAATTGACAACATTTTTAGCTGTTTGTTGATTATGTTTTCGAATTAGGATTGAAAGAAGAAATCTAATATGATATTGCAGTTCCTTGTCTGCTTTTTAGGTAATAATTATTGCTTGGAAATATTTGCTGAAAAAAAACAAGTAACATTTTTTCCACACCACGGTCATTTTTCTACACCATCTAATATGTGTGTTCGATTCTTGTTAACTTGTTAATTTCCAGCCCGAATTGCCTAGAAATGCGACTTGTACCCTTTTTAAAAATCTAAATCAGCGATCCTACATTTAATAACACAACGCGATTGAGACGAGTCTTTTGTGAAAAAATTTTCTGAATATCTTTGACCGTGGTGTGGAAAAAATGACACTTATTTTTTTTCGAAGCAAATATTTCCACGCAAAAATAGGTACCTAAAAGAGCAGACAAGGAACTGTGCAATATCATATTAGAATTCTTTCCGTCCTAATTCGAAAGCATAACCAACAAACTGCTAAGAAATGTCGACAAGGAACTATGCAGCATCATACTAGAACTCTTTCAGTCCTAACTAGAAAACATAACCAAAAAACAGCTATAAAAAACAATTTTTTGGAAAACAAACCTTGTGTGAGAAAACTATATCACTAGGCCATTTTTCACTCCGCTGTGAAATTTAAAAATGAAAACCTATTTTCAAAGCTAAAAATTGTTCACGTTGATTCGCGTCTTTTACTATTTCTTAATTGGAGAGCGTAAATTCACTTCATTTTAGCAAATAAATTGAATTGAATTTGAAACACAGACAAAGCCAAAAATTTTCACACACAAGCAAGAAAGCAGCAAAAACGGGCTTTAATTGCACAAAAACACAAATGTAAAATATCATGTAATAAAATGGAGTGTATGAAACAAAACTGTATAAAATATGCAGTTTAAATATCTCAAAAAAACATTGATGTAGAAAATTTCAGAAATAGGAATTTCAAAATTATACTCTTTTATGAAGCAAATTCGGTTCATTTGATGAAATTAAAAAGCATCAGCTGTGATAAATTATTGGTTATCAAACCTCAAAGCATTTGCTATTAAATTTCCGATGCTGTCTGTTGCTGAAAAATACCGCAAGTAGTACGCACAATACTATATTTGCGACTTGAGTTGAAAAAAAAAGTTTCTATGCTCCAATCCTGTAATTAATAGAAAGCCAAAGAGCAAAAAATCAAACTTGAGCATTGAAAAACTTTCATGGCTTTTTCGTTAAAAACATACATCAAGAACTTCAAAAAATGACTTCACTTTGTTTATTGAGGAAATATTCCATTGGCTTCCATTCAATAGTTTATACAGACTACTAGCCGAAAGAGACTATTTGAAAAATGCAGATAAACATCAACCACTTTGGTGATACTGTTGTCTCAAAGAAAACTCATTTGCAAAAAAAAATGTGCCATAAAACATGATTTCCAGCTTTACATGAGCATTTTTACAAAAATGATTGCGTGATAATTATGCAAGCAAAACTTGGATAGACGCCTAAAATGGTCTTTAAAAAGTCAAAAAACTTCATGGCTATAATGTCCTTTTATGTTTTATGTCCTTTTATGTCCATTTCAAACACATAAACGTTAAAAAAATCTAGTTTCGCTTTTCAAACAACGTGAAATGAGGCGAAAAAATGATCAAACAAGCCGACGTCACTTAAGCCGAAAAAAGTAAGCGCGAGAAAAACAGAAGCTGAGATGAAAGAAGCGAATGGAGAAAACTAAGCCCACAATATTATTAGATAATCCGAAAATTAGACTTCAAAAGCACTAAAAAGTTGAGTAATTTTTGCAATTTTTTGTAATAAAATTTAACCGATATTTCAAAAACTGAAAGCATCATTAACTTGGATCAATTTGAGATAAAAAATTATCCAATACAAAGAGAAGCAAGACACTATTTTGCTAGAAACTGCCAAGTATCTATTTCAATTTTTTTTTCATTGACAGAAACGTCAGCTGGTAAAGGCTAAAAAATGTAAGCAAGTTTGCTTAAACAAATCAATAGAAAGTAAGGGAAAAACAAAACGTTTATTTAACAACACAGTAAAAAAATTGATAATTTAAAAAGATAAATTCTACAAATTATGAGCGAAACGTATCAATTTTTTTCTATTATTTTCTGATCTGATCACAATTAAGACTTTGGAAATAAGAGCCTTTTGCTCATAACGGTTATCATTGCAATAGTTATAGGCTACAGATCACTTAAGTTGATAAAAGGCATCAGTTGACGAAAATACTGATAAAAAATATGCCTAGAAAAATGCGCATAAACTAATCTTTCCAATTATGTTCACCACAAAGGATACCACAAATACGGCATTACAGCCAAAAAGTCTCGAGTAAATTTTCGAACACCTGTGCGAAAAAATATAAAAAGAGAAAACAAAACATTTTAGAAAAAACTTGAAAACGAAAGTTTTAACGTCTCTGATTCAATTTTAAAAAAAATTGACCACAAACTATTAGAAAAAAAAAAACAATAGAAAATTAAACGGACAAAAACAAAGCCGACACCTAATAAACTGAAAATGATCCAAAAAAAATCGGCACATAACTACACCCTATTTAAGCGGTAAATTAATGTGTTACAGAGCATTAAATGAACCAGTTTTATCCAGCTAGCTAAATTTACCCTTTCCCCTAAATCTATAATTTGTGAACAAAATTATTTAGGGGGAAAATCTATTTCCCCATTGCAACACGTTTGCTGATCGCAAGGATAACTATCTAGGTTGTCCAGTTGTGGCTCTCAGCCTAGTGCAAAACAATCAATTGCACCAGATATAGTCTACCAGACCTTTACTGAGGGTCTGAAACACCAGGATTTGACTCTTAAAAGGGTGGCAAATTGCCTAACCACCCACCTTTCGAGTCCAAACCATTTAAACGGTCCAGTAACTTTTTCGACACCAACCTTGAGTTTTGACATGCTGCCATAAGTAAAACAATGTGAACAAGGTAACAGTCGTAAGAACACATTTCCAAGTAATAGAAATAACGTCTGTCAGAAAATAACGGCAAGCCAATTGATAGTTCTCGGAATCAAAATTGGAATGTATAATAAAAGGAATTAATTCAAAACTAGTAAAGCAAAATCAGTCTGAATTTCGAGATAGAATATTGCGTAGTCTCAATTATGTAATCCATCAAACAATAAATTAATTAACTAGCAATTCGATCTTGCAATTTTTTTAAACAAAAATAGACTGAACTTTGAGGTAGATTGTGAAGAAATATTTTCCCCTCAAAATTTATAAGACGAGGAGTCTGTGTTTTTTTTTATGTTTTAGCCTCGAGGTTTATCAGGTGTACTGAAAGTCAGTATTTTTCCCAGTTCTTCTGTGATAAAAACAGGTCCTTGGAATTACATTTACGTAATACATTTCTAAAGTCTCAAGTTGACATTTTAATAAATGACTGAAGAAGAACACAGTTTTGCTGTCATTGGTAGAATTTCATCCTTTTTTATGACGCTCATAAAGTGCAGTAAAACCAAATCGGATCTTTTGTGCCAATAAGAAAGATCCAACAATAAAAGCCAAAGTTTACATATAAAATCAAATCGAAGCCAAATAAATTTTAAACTCCAGAGCCTGAATTAGCCAACACATTCTACTAAGCAAATAATTTCCGAAGTAATATTGAATGTTAAGGAGTTTCTAAAAAATAATTTTGAACAAATATCAGTTGCTTTAGCTTTAAGTATTAGACAAAAAATGAAAAAAAAAATATCGCTTAATAAAGTCCAATTTACGGAGCGAACATAATATTAATCGGAGTTTAGCTATGCTGAAAAAGAAACTAAGCAGATATAATTATCATAAGGATCGTGAAAAAAAAACATTTTTGTGATGAAATGAAATTAATCACAGTGCTTTGAATGCATTGGAATTTTCGCGCGCTGATTGGAGCTTTGGAAAAGATTATATTTAATTTAGACGGACCAGTTACAAATGGGATGAAAAAGAGAGAAAAAAGGAAGCAAAAGAGAATACCAAGAGGCCTGCTATTAAATTCAATAAATATTCAATTGAAACTGAAGGCCTACTCAACGGAATGGGGGAATAAAAGGACGGAGGCGGCGGGCGGCGGAGTGTTCGGTGAGGTGACGGCGGTCGAGTGGAAGCGCGGTTTTCTCTGCACTGTTACCTGTTCATTACAAATAAATGTGGTGAGAAATTCGGGAATTAGGATATATAGAAACAGATATATAGATAGAAGAGCGCAAATACAGATTTGTTCCAGCAAGCTATTCTAACATTGGATAAGATATAAGCACAAGCATATAGGTAAGAACCAGCACACAAATCAGTTGCTTTTCCTTTGATATCAACCCAGCCACCCCCCCCCCCCCCCCCGGCCCCGCCCCATTTCACCAAAACTAGAGTTCATACTTGGGCTACAAATCACAAAAGCCCCCTCTCTATCTATCTATCTCTTGCTTATAGCTTCGATAATAGACTAGGGAAGGGTATTAGTAGGGTAGGGTATTTTAGGGCATAAAAGGATAGAATAGAGCTAGGAAACACTTTATAACGCAAATGCGGAATTGTTTGCAGTTGAACTGCTAACAGTGAGGATATCAGAGTACAGTAGAAAGCGAACCGTCAAAGTTTCTATTATCAAAAAAATAATAGTCTCATACTTGCAAAAAAAACATGTCAAAAAATCTTGCTTCGAACATCAAAAAAAAATTTTGGAGAAAATTGTTTCGTCTTCCTTCAACTATGTCAAAAAATTATGAAAATTTAAAAAAATCGAAGAAATTAATTCTTTGAAGATTTAGCTCAAGAAGTATTCCATCTTTCGCTTATGATTTGTCAAAACTTACGTGCAAAAATGCGTCTGCTATTTAGGATACCTGCTAGTAACATTGTCTGCTTAATGACCGTGGGGAATAGAGACTCGAGAAAGCACTACATAAACACACTTACTACCTCTCCTCTTAACAACAAATGACTTCAATTGGAATTTGTGGAAAAGAGAGAATTTACAAAATAGATGCCATATACAAACAGGCAACATTAAGGGCATTCTTCATACCACCATCATTCCACTTTTACATACGACACCATTTGTCAGACGAATGCTTCTTACTACTGTATTCATCACGATAAACAATCAGAACAAAATGCTGATGATGGAATAAATAAGAGGAAAAATAAAAACATGAACAAAATTAAAAGCGAAATGAAAGAAAACATCAAAGCACGTGAAACAATTCCAAAAAGCGAGAGATAATACAACCGCACAGTAACACCCTGAGCATCAAAAAAGATTCTTTTACATACGAAAAAATAAAGAGAAGCACGTTTATTCGGTACGGGCCAAATCATGTGAAATGCCCCAAATCAAGACCTTTTTTCTGTGGCTTATAGGCATTTAAGCATTGTGTTCATTTAAACCCAAATAGATTCAATTAATTGCTCCAAAAAAGGAATTGAAATGCAAAAAAGAAAGTTTTCCTATCAGTTGTTTCGCAGACTAGTGATATGTCCCCAAATAAGGAGCAATAAATTATCACAGAGGCGAAGCAGAGCCTCGCATCACTTACGATACAACGCGCCATAGCGTAGCATTGCAACATAGCAAAGAAAAAATGAGACGGAAATAACTAAGGACAAAACATTTTTCAAGATTTAAAAAAAAGAAAGCCCAATTTCATTAAAACAATAAAAACACAGCCACTATACAAAAAAAAACATGAAAAACCCAATTTCAGCAAAACAGTAGAAAAACAACCTTAAGCATTAAAGAATCTTTAAGTATTTACCGAGCGTCCATCAAGCCGAAAGTATGAGAGTAGATGCCTCTTGAGCTGATGCAAAAAACAAGCATGCGAAACTGTTGTCATGAAAGAATTTTCAATTTTCAAACTTCGAGATGCTTCACCACAACCGACCTCAATAGTATTTTGTCAAAAAAAACCAATCATATTCGCTCTTCAAACCATACAAAAAAGTAGACTAAGCCAATAAAACATGAGTTAAAACTAAAACCATTTTAATAAAAAAAATAACATACAAAAAAGAAAAGACCGATAATTTGAACAAAAAAGTCCGGCATTTCAATTTTTCCCGGACTTGTTTTTTGCCTTTTCATACACACTGTAAAAAAATTATTTCTACTTGTGACTCGAACCCCAAACCTTAGGGTGCGTGCGAAGGCAACCGTGTTACCTCTGAGGATGCAGGAAGGAGATTCGAAGTTGTCTCGTTCCCGATTACAAGACAATTGCTTTCGTAAAAAAAAAACAGATTTTATTAAAAATAAATTTTGAAAAGCGTATGAAAACTAAACTAAAACTTTAAAAACTGTATGTCAAGTATATTTCAGCAAATTTACTCAAAGTTGCACCACTAAAATTGGAGAGCAAACATAGTTCGACATCAAGAATAATTTTTGTGATTTCAGGTAGAAAAATATCCCACACAGCTTTCAGAAAACTTGTAAAACTGAATGATTACTTTAAATGCCTAGCTATATATAAAAAGATTTAAAAAAACAAGGTTTTCTCCTATGTAATTTTATTGAGCGTTGATTGAGAAGATAAACTCAAAGTTTCATTAATCTTCAAAAAGAGTTTTAATTGATTAATTAATTTTTCAAAATTAAAGGCCGAAATGAAAACAATTTTTTTTCAAAAATCAGAGAAAAACTTAGCGCTGGGGAGACGCTTAACTATTTTTTTACAACAAAAAGCTAAACACTTCATGAGGTTTTTTGCGCGTTACTCGCTCCAAACTAGAAGGGTAAAGCAAACATTTCAAAACAATTTATCTCGACACTATAAAATGTTCGAAAATTTTTTAATGTTCAAATCATGACGCGAAGGACCTAAAGAAATAAATTATTCGACCTATTGTAATGATTATTTGCGGTAATTGATTTTGCGCGGAAAAATTTGGTTCCCAAATTTCAGTGGTGGGACTAATGATTTATAACTTTGGAATGATACAATCATTTTATCACTTAAATTTCGACAGATGTTTCTTTTTGAGGCTTGTGAAAACGTAGAAATGGAAATTGAGTCTTAACTAGATACTTCAGCCATATACGTAGACTTTTCCACTAATCACATTGCAGGAAAAATAAAATTTTCAAAAACTAGAAAGCTCTAAATTGCCTGATCTTTTGCATATAATGGGTTTAAGAAAAAAAGTCGACGGGACTTTAAGTTGAAGGGACTTCAAGTTGAATTCTGAACTTTTCAGGTATTTGATTTAATGGTTTAAATACTATAATAATTTAATATTTTAGGACCATTAAAAATTTTGAGTTGTTTATTTAAAAAAATCCGATTGGAAACATTTCAGTTCGCTAAATGAACCTGTTTTTGGAATGAAGATATCCAAACATTCTACAATATTCACCAATTATTTTCTAAGAACCATTTAAAAAAATTTACAAAAAGGCAAAGCTTACAAAACTTTGAGTTGTTTATTTAAAAAAACTACGACTGGAAACATTTCAGTTTTTAAATGAACCTGTTTTTGGAATGAAAATACTCAAACATTCTACAAAATTCACCAATTATTTCCTAAAAACGTTTAAAAAAAAGCTTACACAGAAGCAAAGCTGCGCTTCGCAAATACTTGTTAGAACACGACTAAAAAGCAGCTCTATCAAGTGAAATAAGAAAAAGTAGAAATGAGCCTCGAATTAGCAAAAATTCGGCAACGTCTCGGATTCGAAATGCGACCTAGCAAATTTGAGTCTCACGCGCTAACTGCTCAGCCACGGATGCTTAAAATCCCCAAAAATTAGCCGCCAATAAAACAGCTACATATGCTAATAAATTGCCAATTTAATGCAGCAAAAGTAGCACCAAATACAAAAAGAAGCAATTTTGCATGTAATAAATTAGAACGCATGAAGCCAAATTATGAATGGATTAGGCATTTGATAACAATTGCGAGATTTATTGAGTTGGAAAAGTTCTGAAATCGAGCTTTTCATCATTGTACTGCTGTTTGATACAAATAATTTTTTTCGGTTCATTTGATGAATTAAAAATGCATTAATTGTCAATTTATTTTTATTCGAATGTCAAAGCACATGCTATCCAAAAGCTGTCAAAGTGCCCCAAAAGTGGCACCAATATTTGCGCATTAGGTTAGAGAAAAAGTTCGAACTAATACACTTTGCTTCGCAAGTGCAAATAGCATGAATTATGTATGGAAACTACCAATTTATGTGCATTGAGCCAAAGCTGTTTCACATTTTTGATTTTTCGTTTTAATTTGCGGCCAATTTGTTCATTTGGTCTAATTCCCGTCCTGTTGGATTGATGTCCGGCATCCACATTTATCAAAAAGAATTGAACCTTTAGGAGCAAATACTGTCTAATTTGGAAGAACGTAAAATTGTATAGTGATTGAAGGCGAGGGTATTCTGTACTTAAAACTATAGGGGAGATTGTTAAGTAGATCAAATACAGGTGCAGCCGGTATGGTGCAAGCAGCACACAGCCTTCTTTTGAATCATCGTTGCAAAACGTATTTGCATTTTTGTTGGGTGACTTTACATGGAGGCGAAGCTACATTTCACTAACACAAACGAAACCCGACAAACAGCGCACTTTCAGTGACACATAACATGAGTCGTACTGCTTAACGAATTAGAAAAAATACTCTGAGCCCTTCAGGAAAAAAAATCAGAATTTTTGTTTTCGAGACTGTAATAACTGCGAGCTATTTTCAGCGACATTAAAAACCATTCAATTAAGTAGAGGTTTAAAATTAGTTTTAGGTTATTCAAGATAAAAAAGCATGTTGCGTAAATTTGTCTCGTACATTCGAATAGCCTTTTATTGTACAAGTAACAGAACGCTCCGACCATACTCATTTTTACCAAAACATTTTTCAAAATTAATTTATACTTTAATGTTTTTGCCTCCTTTTTGTGGGGTAAGGCATTGCGGTTCTTCGACCAAGGCTTCGCATCGAATTTGTCTCAAAAAAAAGCAGATTGTTTTTTCTCGAGGCACAGAAAGAATTTTTTCGTTAAGGTTCGATTTACGACTGAAAGGCTTTTTATGTGATATAACAATAAGAACCGTGAAAGGTTTTTATTTGTGATACGCGGATCTTAAGGACAAAAACCAAAACAGAATCCAAAATTTTTCCACACCTTCAGTGCTTGGAACAGAATCACATCGAGGCAAGAAACTCTCCTTCAAATTCACATATTTACCAATATGTGTTCACATATTTATCAACTCCAATTTTTAGAAGTTTTATTAGATAT